AGTATGCACCTCTTCACATTCCATGGCTAAGACTTCTTTTATATGATGTTGTGCCATAACAAATGGGAAGCTAACCTCACTTTTCTGCCCATTCATTTTTCTTGTCTTCACTCAGATTATTAAACAGGAAGGGATAAACACAGCAATTTCAGCATTCAGTGAAACTGCCTTTTTTTCTTACTCCATCTTTCTTTGAGGGATATTTCTCGAGTCCCAGTTGCTTTATACATGTGGAAAGGATGCAAAGCATAAACCCTTCTGAATCGTATTTTCTAAGCCACTTTGTCATCTCTGTTGTTCTAATCTGCTTGGATTTCAATTTGTCTTTTTAAAATGTCATGTCCCAAACTGAATCAAATCAGTCCTGCTGCTGAAGCCTGAGCATTACTGAGCAGAAGAGAAGGATTATTGTGCTGCTTTGACACATACTGTTATTGTTAATATAATCAAGTGTAGCATTTGTCCTTTTTTGTGTAAGCATCCTATATGTGAATTGCAAGCAGTTTATGATTTAACTTACTATAACTGTGTCTGCCTTTGTAGGGGTGTTCCTTGGCCCACATTTCTCATAAATATTTGCTTTGGGTTCAATATTCACTAGCATTGCAATCTTTTGGACTAGAAAAAAATACTTATTTTAAAGAGTACGTATAAAATCCATTAGGCAATGGAAGACTAAGATAAAATGAATCTCTGTGGCAGGGAATATCACAGAATCACAAGAAATTTTTTTTTGCAGCAGCAGCCCAGCAATCCAAAGCTATTTTTTCATTGTTGTTTAATGAATCTGAAGTAACTTGATTGTCATGGCAAATCCAGGCAGCCATGAGTGCTGCATTTTAATCATCCTGACACACTGCAGTAAGGCTCAGTGCTATTGCTGTTAATTCAGGGGAGATGAACACACTGATGGTGACATTTGAAACAGAAGGGACAGTAGGCACTTTATGGTACAGTGCAGAAATGTGCTACCAAGATGTCACAGCTACAGCTACCACCTCCTGAGTGTTGAAATGGATGTGGAAATCAGCAGCTGAAATAAATTGAAACTACTACTCTAGATCACTTTACTATTTCACTGCCAAATATTCTGCCTTCTTAATACATAGTCCATCTTCTGATTTCTCTCCTGTGGCCACACTGACCATGTCTTCTCAATGGGGAAAAAAGTACTAGAGCTCTTCAAGTCCCTGGTACCTCTCAGAGCAGATTATATACAATTTTAGTAGTTTCTCCACAGATCAGAGAAAAAAAAATTGATTTTTTTCTGAGTTCTTCAGAGTTCAAAGTGGTAGATCAAGAGTATGTGCATGGTAGGGGAAGGTAAAAAGACAGACAGTGCTCAGATGGTAAAAATACCAAATCAGAAATATGAGGTAACCACTCATTGATGGCTACTAAAGAAAAAAACCATAATATTTACTTGGAGACTGATCATGTTAAAGAAACATGTTATCTAGAATAAAATGGAATTTGTGCATGGGTCCCACTGTAAAATATGCTGAGAAGCCCCAGTTCCCGTTGTGTGGCAATTCTGCAGTAGCTCCACTGTGGGCACAGTCATTTCCACACCAGAAATATTTTTGTATGGATTATATGTGGCCACATCCAGGGGTAGTGGAGGACAAGACTTGAAATTCCCTCCCTGATTTATCCCACCATGGTTCCCATGTGCAGACAATCTGACTTCATTCCTTATGCCTCATTTGTGCAAACTCCTGCAAGAGAAGTCAAGAGAAGAATGTGAGTAGGTTTAAATCTCAGAACGCGGATGATTTCTCTGAGGGTTGTGGGCACTTAGCACCTGCAGGACTGAGCCTCAAGGCACTTATCTTTCCTTCACATTCAGACAAGCCTTCAGTTCTTGAAAAAGGGATGCTCAGGGTTCCTGATGTTGTAATTCTATTAGGGAAAATGCCTGGAATACGAGGGAAGCCAAATGTTACGTTAACATGTTAACTAGTCCTAGCACGATCCAGCTTCTCTTACTTTTCATTGCAAAAGTGATGAAGTCAGCTTTGCATGGAAGTTTTCAGCATTGTGGAATGAAGGGCAAGACATCCACTAAATTCTCCACTGGACCATTTTCTCTGGGTGAAATTTGGGGTAATGATTTTGGCAGAGGGAGAGAATCCTTGAGAACAAAAACTCTGCCTAGCAGCATATTCAGCTTGATTTCAGTGGGAAAATGGGCAAGGATGGGTGATTTGGATTTCAAATACTGCACAGTTGTTTTAGAGGATGGTTTCTGAGTAGCCTGAAAAGGGAATTTGGAAATAGTTTCTATCAAGAACCTTCTGTTCCAGTTCTGTATGCTTAACAGGCACTGTAAGGACGCTGTGCACAAAAATTAGCTCCTGAAACTTCATTAATTAGCATACTTGGTTATGCTGGTTTATTTCCTCTGGACAATGGGGATATTTGGATATATTATTTTTCTGTATTGGAGGCAGTGCCCTTAATAATTTAGCAATACCATTAGCAGACTATCTCTACCTTTTCTACAGATCATAGTGTACAAACAGTATAAAGAAGCTCTTCTTTTTAATGAATCTTCATATTGCGTAAGGACATCAAAACCCTGTACCCTTAACTATAGTACAAACATAGATTGGTCTGGAGTTACATTTTTTACCCTCACTGCAGCTTCCAAAATATTTCAGATTCTGATTTTCATATACTATCTGAAAAGCCTAATTTAATTCTACTGCTATTATAGCAGATCAGTATTAGCAGCGTAGTCAGCTTGACTTGAGCACGGAAGAAAGCGCATGTGGGCTGGGAAAATGGGCAAGGATGGGTGATCTGAGAGCTGGTTTTATTTCTGTTGTACACAAACCTGCACCACTGTGGAGTCTGGACCTCTGCAACCACCAGAGAAGCCTGGAGAAGCCATGGAAAATCAGATGAATGATTCTGAAATATATGCAAAAAAAATTTCCTAATTATTTATTTGAAGTACCCAGCCAGTGGATTACATTTGCCAGAGCCTGTGGTCAGTGCTGAGAGAGCAAATAGTGCTGTGGGAGAAGGGGTAATACATTTCCATCTGAACTGGTTGCAGAGTTACTGTACATCCAAGTCCAAATTAAGGTTTTATAATTTTAGATGTGGCGTGCCCAGTCAAAACTCTTGACTACATGATTGCAGTGACAAGTAAAATTTTATGATAAGGAGAAAAGAAAGAAAAATGAATCTTTGTAAATTGAGTTATTTTGATAAGAATGTGAATATCTTGATTTTGGTTGTGTTTGGTTAATTTAAACCACTCTTGTTTGATGGGAATTCATGTTAAGTCAATATACACTCAATGATAGTTAGAGGTTCTGAGCCTGGACATGTGTTTTCCAATGCAGATATCATGAAATAGAACATAAAATACAAATACTTTTTCTGTCACTAAAACTAAAGTTGCACATAGTGACAATTTGAGTTACAAATTATGAGTTGATTTTTTGGTTTAGATTATGATTCAAATAAATCTTTCACCATTATATTCTGTGTACTTTGGAGGAGGGATTATAAAGAAATAGGGGAAAGTTATAAAATAGAAATTGATAAAAGGCTTATTCGGTGTTTGGGAGTCCTGCGCAAGCAGCTAAAAAAGCCTTTGGAACAGAACCAATCTCTGTGAAAGCTTTATTGATTACACAGAGAAAAGTCCATTTTAAACACTTTCATAGCCCTGTGTTGCCTGAGGAAGCAAAATCTATTACACTTAGATTATGAACTTTTTGTTTATGAACTCAGCTATCTTAGTGGACAGCTGGAAGAAAGCAGCATTATTATTTCTTCTGTCTGTAAAGCAGAGTTATCAAAAAGCCCCTATTTTCCCCATGTGTCTACTGCTGCTGTTTCCATACATAGTGTGAGGTGCTTTGCCACATGCTCCAGCTGCAGCTGGAATGGCTGGCTCCTGGAATGGCTTTCAGGTCAGGGAGCTTCTCAGGTCCCCCCACACCTCCAGTGGGTAAGGTCTGGGCTGTACTCCCTAATTAGTGTTTGTGTAATTGCTCCAGTTGCTCCGAGCATTTTTCAGGCTCCAGGTTGTTGTGTTGTGTTAGGAGAATGACTCAGATTTATCCATGGTTAAATAAGCTGTGAAATGAGCTGCCCAAACAACTATCACTCATCAGGGTGATAATGCTGCTCTACAGAAAGGATTTCCACCTCTCTTTGACCTAAGGAAAGGTCTAAGCCAGGAAGATGAGAGAGAAAAAGTCATTACTTTTCTTTCCCTTAAAAGGGGTGAATGTCAGGCTGCAGTGGAGGAGAGCCTGGACTTGCAAGGTACAGAAAATCTCCACTTCCTGGGGAGAATGATAGAAGCTGCTGGAGGGTTGGGAAAAGAGGAGACAAGGGCTCGCTGAGGCTCGGAAGGACAGCGGGGTCCCTCTCAGCTGAAATCACCTGTGAAACTCATGGGCTGCGCAGGTCAGCTCTGCCTGCGGTGTCTGAGATTGCAGCCAGTGGGACTGAACTAATTCCCAGAGAGCAGCAAAGGTGAATTTTGTCTATGCTATGTGGTCACATATTTCTTCTGGCCCCCAGTGATGGGGCTGACATTTGGCATCTCATTGAGGGTGAAATGATGTGACCCGCTTCTTCCAGCGCCGGGTCTTTTATCAATTTGGGCTCATGGCATCAATCCAGCTGAAATTGGTACCTGTAAGTTCTTTAAGTCTCAGGAACTCTGAAGTTGATTAAATTGACTCTGAACCAGCATCTTCAAACACTTCTGCCTGTCCCCTCCATTCCCCCAAAGCTCAAAGCATGTAGAGAAAAGGGTAGAAATGATAAAACACTTAACTTACTTCCAGCTAAATCTTTCTTTGGAGCTTACAGTCCTTTTCCCTACAAGTGACCCTCATTTCTGACTGTGAGAAACAGACTGTGCTGTTCACAGCATGTTTTCTCTCTCCTCTTGTGATACCTTGCCAGTCTGAAAAGTTTTAATGACTCCTTGAATTTTTTTTATTTTTTTTTTTTTTAGCAACAAAACAGAAAAGGATGTGAGAAAGATTTCTCACCTGTAATATCAAAAAAGTTAGAGCCTGCTCATTTGGACAATAGCACCAGGTAACTGCACTTTTACCACTGATATATGTCTCATAGAAGATGTGGATAAACACAGAAATACTGGGAAAATGTCTCAAAGCACTCACAATTCTGTTCTCTTTTACTCAGCTTCTCTTTTCGATGTAATTCTGAATGAAAGCTTTAGCAGAAGAGTTCTGGCAGATTGTCAGGCATTCAAGTAGATTAAACTTCTTAGACTGAACAAAGCAGGGAAGTTTTGCTGGAGAATTTGAAAATAATGGAATGAACTGATAGAATCCTTACAAAATGAACAAACTCCCTACATTTAAGATCTTGGCATAACAGCTCTAATTTCTGTTAGCTGTGATCTTGCAGGGTTTTTATTACAGTTCTACAGAGGTACGTTTAAAACAGAAAACATTTAGAACTTTGCAAAAATAGCATGTTAGGATTGTGCAGCACTTTTCTCTGTACAAGCCATCGTCAAAATTAATCAAAATATTTGCTCTTGATATGAGCAATAAGGATCTGCAAAAATTGCTGCAAGTGTAGCAAAAGGTATGATTAGATGAGTGGGAACTGTTTTTTCCTCAAGATGGCTTTATTTCGATAAGTTTTTTACCAGCAGAGGCTCAGTGATGAATGTGCATTGCTACCTGAAGCCAGTTTAGAAGGAATTCCAGATCCTTCATAGTAGGCAATATGGGAGTCATCAATTTCTAGGGAAAGATCAGTCCTGATTTCAATGAATTAGACTTCTCAATTATTAAAAAATAATAATAAAAAATAATATATGTGTATATGTATATAATTCTGTCTCACTAAGTGTCTCAAATGGGATTTTGTGTTTGATTTCTGCTACAAGAGTGGTGAAACTGTTCATTTTATTAAGCCATGTTTCTTTAAAGATGTTTTATCCAGTTTACAACTTACCAAGTGCTTTAAAGCTGCTGGAACTGCTCTGTGATTAAATAAGGGCCTCTAAATAAATGTTTGTGATCTTTAAACAAATTACTTTGATTTGAGGTTTCTGTCTGACGACACCTGATGTATCTGTGTTGTCTAAAACTCTGCTGCCTGAAAGGAGGGATAGTATTGACAACCTTTAAATTGGTCTCTTTGGTTTTACTGAATTTTAATTAAAAAAGAATTGGAGTTCTTTAAAGTAGACATTGGAAAGGAAGATGATATTGGTGAAAAAATTGCGTGGGTAATTTACAAATATGTCTTCCAGTACCAGCCAGACGTTTTCAGTGCAAACCAGACTTAGGAGGCTAGGTTAGTCAAATTTAATTAATTTGCCTTCGTGTGTCTTTTGGCATGTTGTTAATCATCTTCTTTCTAGGTTTGCACAGGCTTTAACCACCAGACCATAAACACGGCTCTGTGAACAGGTGCTGTGGGCTGGAGACAGCTTTGAACATCAGGTATGTGCTCACAGGGAGTTAGAATGGCTCGAGTTCCTTCTCTGAGCTTTTCCTGCTTCGCCTGTGTTTATGGGCAGGGAAAGCAGTTTTGAAAAATACAAAAACATCTCCCTTCTTTCAAAAGTGTGAAGAGAGATACTGGCCAGGAATATCAAAAATGGGCAGAAGGGGGTTTACCCATATTTTGTGCTCCTTCTAACTCAGTCATTCATGTAACTACATGTATTAATCACAAGTTTTTGCCCCAAAAGAATGGGAGCAGAACCAGGCATTCCCTGGAGCCACTCTGTGGCAGAACTGATTTGACTGCGTGTTCCACGTGGACGTAAGTGTGAGACTTTGGTGATTTAATAACCAGTGCCCTGAAGATTTTCTGTCTTCTCTAGAACCACTTTTTTTTCAAGAAATGATCTAAGCTAATTATTTTCAGCTAGTATTATTTCTTCAATTTATATTATTAAGACTCCAGGTTAAGAGTTTGGTTTAGTACGTAAGCAATGGCGTGTGTGAAGTGATTAAAAAAATCCCACTAAAAAAAGATTCAAGAGATGGAGAGCAGCAATGTAAATAAGTAAGTTAAAAGGAAAAATTTGTTTTCCATTTCTCTCTGAAAGTTGAGTTAGCTCTTAGTCTGGGCAGGCTTTTGATAGATTGTGCCCTGGAACAGTAAAAATAAAATTTACTTTTACCTGTATTATCAGCAATGTGTGGTAAAGGCTTGATTGCACCCCTCACCTACCATATCACCTCTGTAATTTATTATCAACACAGAACAGTCTAGATCTTCCAAGTAAATATTAAGTTTCTGTAGCCATGCCAATTTATGTAAATTCTTAAAAAATAACTTCAAAATTAAGTACTTGCCTCATTAGTCTGATCTGCAGGAAATAGAGCATTATCAATTATAAATAAAATACTTTAAATGCAGCTTAATTAGTTCCATTTGTGGAGCGAATTAGCTAAATATGGTTCTGCTATTATAAAAATACCACTAAGATAGCCATAATATATTTTGCTAGATAAGTAAAATGGTTCAGCTTCTCTTTTAAATGGGCACCTTTATGCCTCATCTCTGATCCCTTTGAGGCTGGACTTCAGTCAGCGTCTTTATTCATAGTATCATTTCATTACTCTGTCATTGTTTACTGCAGGAATTCATGAGGATGTTGGTATCTTCAAGACACATTAATCTCACACAGTTTATTAACATTTCAAAAGATCTTCCTCGGAGTCACAGATAACATCATCTGTGGGAGAATAATCTGATTTTTTTGTATTAAGTTTGTTTGCTCTGCTCAGAAGCAGTAACAGCTTTCCCCTGAACCAAGAGCTTGGTTTCCTAATTTCAATTCTAGTGATTCGTTTAGAGCATCAAAAATGAACTTCCTGAATTAGAATTGAATTAGACCTGAATTAGAAACTGACATCCTGGTGCAAAACTTTGGACAAAGGGATTACAGGTGCTATTGATGTGAAGAGGAAAATGTGGTCAGTCAGAGATTGAGCCTAATGAGGCACCTTAGTGAAAACTGGAGGGGAAATGAGACAGCTTCTGCAGAGGAAGAGTTAAAAGAACAGCCAGGCCACAGGCAGGATAAGAAGCAAAAGGTGAGATGAGAGAAGTCAGGCTAGCAGAAGAATGAAAAGAAATATAACTAAGGAAGAATGTTAAGGGTGACTGATGGGTCAGAGGGTATGGAAATCTAGTGATGGATCAGAGGCTGGAAAAGAGAAAGCCACAGCAGACTGTCAAGAGGAATTTCTATTCACAGCTGGATTTTGGATGGTGTGGAGGGGAAGGGGCCTCAGGCAGTTTCTGTAAACAGTGAGCTTCCAGGCCAGAGGGAGAAGAGCTATACCGAGTCCATGGCAAGGGTGGAGGCTCCAGCATCCAGAAGGGCCAGTGAAATCACACAGGGGGTGCAGATCTGAGGGGAAAAGGTGGTTCTAGTGTACCAGCTCATCCTCACATTCAATTCCAGCCCAAACAAAACAAGGACTTGACAGCCGGATATAAAATATACAAATATATGTATAAAATATACAAAATAGGACTGGGGGAATACAGAGGTGGGACAAATTCACCTGTTTGCTTTAGTGCCCAGGAGACACTGCCACTATCAGCTGCAGTTCCACACTGAAGGGAAAATGATGCACAGAATTTGATTATTTTAGAGAAAGAGTTTGAGGCTTTAAATTGTTGGGTCCTGTAAACCATGGACATATGTGTTATGAATATATGAAATGCATTTAGTGATAAAAATTGAAGGAATGGCTAGGATGACATGCCAATATTTCTGTATGAAACAGGTTTTTATCTTTCCAATTAATATCTGAGATACTGTGAAAATAATGGTTTTTTCTTGTTGCTTAGTAATAGATTAATTTTTTTTTTAATGGAGGTTTCAGATATCAAACTAGATTTATGGAGAACTGTTGTTCTCCTTCATTATGTGGGTTTTTTAATGAAGGTTCTAGGTGGTAAGAACTCTGTCATATCTGCACAACGAAATCACATGAATCTCTGAAGGGCTTTTTTATATATTTTAGTTACATCATGAGAGAAGGAAAACGCCAGAGCTATATTTGTCCTTTTAGAAGACACTAGATACTAAAAGAAAGCCATCTTAGCAAACAAATTTTTATGATGTAAGCTGGGCATGAATTCAAAACACTATTACACTTGGAACATAAATGTGTTAAGCTGAAATAACTAAATCAGAGCAGACAATAAATAAAACTCAGGGGGTGTGCTTTTACTGCCTTAGCAAAATGAACTCCTCATAATCATGGAAATTATCACAATATCACTAATGGAAGGATCTTTCTGGGAAACAGAGCAGGCTGTCTCATTCCAGCATGTTCACGCATTATCCATAGGGTTCAATCAGTGACATTCTTTTATCTGTTGCCAACTGCCACATACAATTACTTATATTTATCCAGCAGTTGTGATGAAAGCATCAGCCAACAGCAGCAAAACCACAAAAGTCACCTCCAGAGCAAATCCGTCTCAGTTTATTTATTCCACTGAAGAATGGCACTACCCTGAACCCCTGAACAGATGGGGAGCATTTAATATTATGGTACAATAAAAAAAATCCTTAATCAAAGAACAGTACATTAAAAGAATTAGAGAAGGTTAATACTGGTGGCTTAATGCAGGGGAACAGCTTTTTTATTGAATTCCTTTGGAACACATTTTGCTTTTCTGCACACTTCAGCATGCAGCATTAGCTGAGGCAAATTGTGGTTGAGCACAGGACAAGGACAAGAGAGGCAGAAGGTGAAGAACTGATGTAAAGAGAGATCCAAGCATCATTTCCTGATCAGACTAAGACTTGGATGCGTTGTTTGATCCTAATTTTAGAGCTCTTAATTAAAAGCATCCTCCCATACCTTTAGATGCTGTTTGCAAAGGGGATGCTTAAACTCACTCTAGTTGAAACCAGCAGAGCTTCCTGATGCTGTAGAGTATGGTTGCAAAATCAGAGTCTACATAGATCCAAATTGTTAGGAAGTCTATTTGAGAAATGACCAGGACACTGGAATATGTTTTTTTTTTTAATTTTCCCACTGAACATTTGGTTTGTGAAAGCAAGAGGGCAGATGTGAGTGTAGATTTAAGAGGTGCTTTTCCACTGAGTTCCTGACACCTGTTCCGAATTTCTGTAGTGTTCCTGGCAAATCACATCAAGTAAAAATATTCCTTAAATTGTTTCTCCTTTTTCAGCACCAATCTACACCTTTTCAGCCTCTTTATTTCATTTTTTATTCCTTAACAGCTTTTGTTTAGTGTATGCAGGAAAATGCTGGAAAATTGAATTTATCTATTAGATATATGAACTCTATTGATTGTTTCTAATGCTTCTCAAATGTACCGAGCATGACTAAAACCAGGTCGGTCTACATCCCTATTATTATTATTTTCCTTAAACCCATGTAATTGTTCATTGTGGTTTTTCTTAAATTTCCCCAGAGACCACACATAAAAGATAAATATAAAATTTTCTTAAATTTCCCCAGAGACCACACATAAAAGATAAATATAAAATTTACTTTTAATAGCCATATAATCTGAATAATGCTGGTCAGGAGAAACATTGCTGAGATTTTTTTCTGTAGTGATTGTGGACATAGACACAACTAATTGCCCCTGGTTATTTGAACTGCAGGAATTAAATTGGGATGTATGTTCTGTTTCCCATCTCTTCCACTGATTTTCAGGTAAAAAAAAAAGGCAAAATAATATTAGTGTTGTCCACTGGTATGAAATTGTTATATTTTTCAGCTATAAGTTGAAATTCAATGAACTAATTTCAGTGTTATTAACTCTGTAGGGTTCTTTGCATCAGTGCCTGATCCTGAAGGCAGCATTATCCTTGAATCACAAAATATTGCATGTTGTGCCATTTCCAGGGTTTCCATTTGCTATTTCTTTCCCACCCATTGGCACCTGGGAGATCTCAAATACAGACACAAAAAAACCAAAACCCTAAAAAGCCAAGCAAAAAATCACCAACAAGAGTTAAAAATAAAATAAATGATGTTTAGAATCGGTAATTCTGTTCATTCCTCTCTGAGGATCATTAATTTTGTGGTCTAGTGTCTGTAAATTCTCTTTAATTTGCAATCAATTCTGAAGCCCTGTAGAGGTGCTGGCAGCAGAACGTGGCTGTTGGCTCAGTCTTGTCTGTGGAGATGCAGTTTGGACCAGAGTCGTGCCTGGTTTCTGGTGTTGCCCAGTGGCTTTGTTTCCTTTCATTCACCTGCTTTATCCAGAATTGGGATGTTCAGGAGTTGATTAGTACCATACACAGTACATCATTTTCAAATCTGTGTGAAGCAATCCTCACCAGCTACATTTTTGAGCTGGCACTGCTTGATTCAATTTGGAATTAAGACCCACCAACTAATCTGCAATCCTACCCAAAATAGATGCCAGCTCAATTGAATAAACTGTGTAACAGTCTGGGGAAACTGACATACCTGTGCTACTC